ACTCTTTGCTTCTGTGCACTGGACTTGTTATTTTTAGTTTATTCCCATTGGGTTCATCTCATTATTTGTCATGTACCTAGGGCTCTGAACTAAGTGGCTGATTGCCTCTCTTGGCTGAACAGGATTCGAACAACAGAGTAGTCTCTTCACCCTCAGTATTTTATTGGATTTGCTCTCATTTGGGCATATCTTTCATCAATGCTTTTGCTACTCTAAACACCAAACTTCTCTTCTGGGCTCCAGTTCTTCATCTTTAAGTCCTAGCAGCTGATGCTCTCAGCCAGAACTGGTCTCATTTTTTTTTCTGTATAGCTATCCTGCTCTTATCTCCTCTCTCGTGTGTTTGCCTTGATACTTGACTCTCCTTGTTGGGTCATATTGATGATGCCTCTTCTTGGCTCGGCAAAGACTTGTGTGCAGGTGCTTGTTTGGTCATGATCAAATTCTACCCATCCTGCATCACTTGGGGCTCTTTTGCCTTTCCCTTTGTGTCCTTCCAGGTGAAGAGTATACCTTGGTCAAGACGAGATGCTGTCTCCAATGGATGTTCCTTTATTTATCTCCTGCTTAACAGGTGTCACACTCGATGGAGGGAGCTCATCTAGGTTTCATGTGTGCACCAGCTCCTCCACAATTTCAGTTTGGGATTATAGCTATTTTTTGTGTGGAAGTGAGGTATCATCTCAGAAGCTAACATTATCATTACTCACCTTCCCACTACCAGTGCACTTTCCTCTTGACTCATCTAAGAATGAAGCTATTTTGAGCACAAGAGCTTAGAGGGAGTTACTGTGCAAGGAGTTTGCATCACCCTCCTGTCAGTAGAGGGGTATCATCACATTAACCATGTGATTTTTAGGTGGGAATTATTTCAAGGCTAGTAGCATGTAAGTCTCATAAGCAGATGCACAAGGGATCCAGCTATTCTTTGTGTAGAGATGAGTATCTATTGGAAATACATTTTCAGGTAAGGAAAATCTTAACTTACCTTAGCTGTTTGATTTGAACTCATGATAGTAACTTTCAATCTGTGGGTGAAATAACTAAAATTCTCTACTAGGAACAAGGTAGTATAATAAGTCATTTGTGAAGTTAAATCTTTGTTTTTCTGTTGGTTATAAATGATGTAATAGCATATGACAAAGAGGATGTAATATGTGGGTGTGGCTAGTGGGTATGACTTTCTGATTTTATTTTTTTAAACAAAGACGATAGATGGATATAAAAATTGCCATAGTAATATCTATACTATAACAAGTAACTTGCATTAAACTCAAGACATTAGAGAGGGGTGATGAAAACAATAGAGGATGGGCAGAATGTTGTGTACAAATACCATGATACATATACAAGAGAAGCTTGAGAACTGATTTAAATATTCGCTTTCGAAATTGAAAATTAGAACTTATATTATAATTTGGTTTATTAACTACATTTTAATTTCATGTTTATTCATATATATATTGATAATACAATAGTTTAATTAAGTTTTGAATGTAACTGTATAAAATCATGATATGCATTTTGACATAACCTGTATCAAGAATGTTAAAAAAAATATCTTTATTAACACAAAACAAGATGGCTTTAGAAGCTTAGAGCTAAAAACTAAATTCACATGAAACTAATCATAACTCATAAACTCAAAGGAAAGGATAAAACTGAACATAAATATAGTAAATATAGGAACATAATAAGCATATATATAGGTGTAAGATCAAAAATTAAAATAAACATTAGATTAATCAAATATGAAACAGTACGTAATATATATATCAGAATCAGCTATAAAAGTAATTAAAAGTATATTGAATATAAAGGCAAAAGAAAATCAAGTTAAGTTACAAAATAAACCAGAATCTGGCCTGTACATTAACAAACAATCATTGTTAGCCAACTGAAAAGTAATTAACAATCCATTAAACATTTACAATGATAAATAAAAAATCAATCATAATATATCAGAAATGAGTGCAAAATTAGATAAATAAAACATAAAAGTCTAGTCCATGCAGTTGAATTGAAACTCAATATAAAACTTTTAAGTAGTGTCACAGAACCAAATAAGACCCAACATAGAATACAACATAATATCTGGCAAAATACATTTAATAATAGCAGATGGGAGAAATGAGAAATATCATGTCATTACTCTTGGCTTTCATTATAAGAACATTTATATGTGACTACATTAACTTTAGGAGGTACACAACAAGTGAAGGGTCTGGGTACCACCAAGGCTTCCAGTGGGACAGGGGGGTTGAAGTGGAAGATCCAGAGTTTTTTTAGAATATGGCTGATATTTTTCCCTTTAAAGTTTTAAGAATAATAATTCATAAGACAACACAATTCAAGGTATTTAAAAACATTTAATACAATCACTGGAATTGTGAAATCAGGTGCAATCAAGTTTAGCAGTAACTGTCACTGTGATACTCATAACAATATTCAGAGTCCTTTTCCAACAACAGTAGCCACTCCCCTCACCAACTTTCATATAGTGTTTTCTATATTATCAGTTTCATTCTGTTATGAAATACACACACATAGCTAGGATGGAAGTTGGAGAAACACACAACACTCCAAGTGGGCCTTGATCTGATGAGGCTTAGTGTGAAATTATTTTTCTTTCATCTTATCCTAATGTTTTTTCACACAATAATTCTTCTAGAATAGTGTAACCATTACAGTCTTCTTATCTGCAGTAGTCTGTGTGTGTGTGTCTGTTTTTCACCATTGGCTAGAAGAGTTATTAACCTGATCCAGTGTGTTTAATATATCCATGTACTGTAGTAATCTGACAACTAAATTGGATCAACTTGTCTCTCACAGCCATATAGTTATAGGGGTCAGTAGATTTTAAGTGTTTATTTCTTTGGTTAAAGGGTAACAATCACATCTACTTGACCAGATATTTCTCAGCACTATAGTGTCATATGCTTTTTTAACTGCTGTTTTCAAATGTTTTGACAGCAGGGTGGTAGTACCGGTGGTGACCGTTGATGTTGAAGTGTCTGACTCACCACAAAGAGCAGTTGTTGTACATTTCAAAAACTCTGAGAGAGGTAGAAGCTCCTTAATTATCTGCCAGTAACCAGCACTTAGCTCCTGTCAGTTTGTCTGAATCAGTTTTCTCTAGCTAAGTGATGACAACTGGCATATAATTAAGAAAACTGATTCAGACAAACAGACAGGAGACAACTGGCATATAATTCAGGAGCACTTAGCTTCTGTCTATGTGTCTCAATCAATTTTCTCCTTAATTATCTGCCAGTTACCATCATATATCTCCAGTGTATGAGTCTCAATCAATTTTGTGTAATTTTTATCAGATAATACAGCAAAGATTACGTACATTTGTTCATCTAGACACTCAACAAAGTTCCAGCAGGTTTCATAATGTTGCACAAGGTGATGTTCAAGCAGATTTTTCTACTGCTTTTTTAGTTGTAGAGGATTAGTACAACTGTACTATGGTAAAAATAGGATACTAATCAGCTTGCAACACCTGTGACTTGATTAATGTTAACAGTTAATAACTAATTATCATATGTGTACAAAACACAGGCTCAGTTCCTCGTCAAGAAATTCAGAACTTGCTGAAAGTACATTACTAAAATTGTCATGCACACTGACTTTTCCTCTAATATTTTATGGTTTGGCAACTGTGTTCAGTGTATTTACAGGATTTTCTGTTGTGTGTCTGTCAGTTTTAAAAACAATGCTTTATAGTTTTCAGTCTGTAATGTAATAGGATGTGATAGTCAAGTAAGAATTGGTATTTAATGCATTCCATGAATCAGTTGTAATGGTCACTTTTACTGCAATTTCCAATTTCCCAGAAAGAACAATAGCATAATCTTCTTTTAATTTTTAAGCTTAAGCAGTTACAGTTTTACCTGCTGGCATGATGTATTCCTGTTCAATAAATATGATGAGCTCCCAAAATTCTTCATATTTCACAAAGCCCATCAAAAGTGTTTTATGCTATAATTTTTGTAATGAGATTGATTGTTTTCTAAGAACAAGATAGATCACACTTGCATTGTGTTTTTTGCTGTTTTTGGAAAATTTAAGGTGTTGTCTTGTTTGGGATGTTTAAATATATTCTGCTAATATTTTATGTGTTATTCTAAATCTCAGCTTTTCTCCACATATGGGAAACATGTAGTTATTGTTTGTGTAGTAACTCCTTGGTTTCTCCAGTATAGGGAAAATGACATGCCACAAGTATGTGTGTGTGTATATATATATATATAAACTACAAGTTAAAACCATCCACATGAATAAAAAATGCACTTTTTTTGGGATCATTAATAAACGGTAGTTTTCTTTTCCAGTTTTTGTGTAAACAACAATTATGTAAACTATTTCTTTAACAGTGAAGATGGCTTGACATGGCCAGGTGGTTAGGGTGCTCGACTCGCAGGTTCAATTCCCTATCACACCAAACATGCTCACCCTTTCAGCCTTGGGGGTGTTATAATGTGACAGTCAATCCCACTATTCATTGGTAAAAGAGTAACCCAAGAGTAGGCAGTGAGTGGTGATGACTAGCTGTTTTCCTTCTTGTCTTACACTGCTAAATTAGGGATGGCTAGTTCAGATAGCCCTCGTGTAGCTTTGTGCAAAATTCATAACAAACCAAACAGTGAAGAAGAAAAAAGAATCAGTGCTCTTATTGTACTGAAATGTTTTTATGTAAGGAGAAAATATATATATCTTCATAAACAAAACATTAGATGGAAATAGTTTAACCTTTATTTTATGTAGTGTTCTAAAAATGCTCTTATTGCTAAATTGTTGTAGAAGATAAACATCATTCTTAGGGAAGTGATTTAAAGTTCTAAATTTTTCACTCTGCTACTTAACAGTAGAGGAAGCTGCAATGTATCTTTGAAACTGAAAAAAATGTGTTGTTGAAGAAGTTAACATTTTTATGTTTTAGTGTTGTTCTTCATCATATTAAGTGTAATTTGTTTATATTTTTCATTTTACAGGCCTTCATGTATTCATCCTGATAGCATTTGTACTAGAAAAACTGATGGAAGTAAGATTTTATCAAATTGTTAAGTAAAATAAATATGCATGTTATATTTAGCCTATGTACCTGTTTATCTATTTATATGTATACATTGTCAGTAACTCCAAGTCACTTAACGTTTAAGATATGTAACTTCAATACATATATATTATATAAATGTGTTAAACATACAGTAAAAGCTCTAAATTACGGACTGCTCGGAACCAAGGGTTGTCCGTAAAATCAAAGATTACATAAAGTTGACATTTCTCCCATAGGAATTAAATTGGATCATCATTGCACAGTATTATCAGCACAGAAACTGAATATTAGAGCATTAGGCATACTGTAATTTATTCAAGTGTACAAATATTAGTATTGAAACCTTCAAAACTTAGGCAGTCCACTCTCTTGTTTGTGAAAAATCCTGTCTGAAGAAAATATGAATATCAGCCTGTCTACAAGCTGCCTGTTTCTTTTTCATAAATGTCTGCTCTAGAATCTTCAAGTGCATCATTTCAAGTGCAGAAGAGCAATCTTTCTGCTCAGTAAACTTCATACATTGTGCAATATATTGTGTGGCTTCTTACCATGTAATTGTTTCTAGAGTCAATATCCTTAGTCTGGGGTTTGGAATTTTTTACACTTTCTCTTGAAATTGAGAAATAGGGTTTGACAACTTCCATCACAATATCAATACCCTTTCCTGGATATTCCTCATTACCTGATGACACTTCTTCTAGCATAACCTTAAGCTACAGTTTTCTCCAGTTACGTCACAATGTTATATCCCTCACATCCGTCCAGGAATAAGCAACATTATAAACTTTTCATATTTTGAATAACACCTTAGTCCATGGGTAGAATTACAAATGTTACATTAGCAGGCAGGTAGGTGGTAAAAAGATTCCCAGAAACAAGTTCAGAATCATGAGGATGGGCACGACAATTGTCCAGTAAAAGGTCCTCTACTATCCCAATTTTCTTGAAATGGTTCCTGGCTTCATATACAAAATTTTAGTGAAAGCTATCTTGTAAAATGTACTTATCCGTCCTTGCATTAGTTTGTGCTTTATAAATCACAGGCAAATTAGAAACATTTAGGGCTTGAATAGTTTTTTTCAGTTATAAATACCTTTGTTTGATTCACTTTCTGAATAAAATTTCAACAAGTGGTCCTTTTGTTTGACAATGTCAGTAATAGTGGATGAACTAACGTTGTACTCATTAATTAAATCTTCCCAACTAACACCACGCTTTACATATTTTACATTGTATATTGTCTGCAATAAAGTAAGCACAACATGCTTTTTTTAACTCCTTCACTATTTGACAGACTATTCGGCATATTTTTACATTGATTAGAAGACATAACTGCAGGGTGAAGAATGCATGTACACGAAACCAAACTTTCAGTGATGGCAAACTGTAACTGTTGTTTTGTTTGAATTGCGGCACGCCGGTACTACATGGACAATGCCACAATGCAACAACCTTTAATAATATTTAATTATAAAAATAGTTTGGAATCTTGAATTGGAGTTACTTTGGGACTAATAGAAGAAATTCTGTAATGTTGAACATTCCATAATGTTAAGATCCAGAAATTAGAGCTTTTACTGTATATGCAACTAACAGATACTTATTGTGTTGTAGTGTTAATTTTTGGTTGTTTTTATTATGATCTTGCTTATAGCTAAACTATTTTATTGAATTATTCCCAAGTTTTATGAGATTTTGTGGTATTCTTTGTTTAAAAGTTGTTACTGTTTGAATTTATTTAAGAATGGTTATAGTTATGTTTTAGTTTGAAAAGTTGTGTCTGGTGAATGTTTCGTTACCACATCTGTGTCTATTCACTCCCAATAAAACTTTTTATAAAAGCTTTTTCTCTGTCTCTCTCTGAGAAATTGAATCAAATTTTTTCAAGTACTGACTCTTCTTTGTTATTTTAAATATATTATCTTTTTTTATGACAGAATGTACTGGAAGAGAGTCGAGGAAGAGTTTTTGTAGCAAGCAACTTAGCATTGGTTGTTCTGATTCCACCTCTTGTGATCCATTCAACAGAGTGCAATCCAAGTTAGTTTTTACTTGCATATAGTTAATATCATATACAATATCAACTCAAACAAATTCTTTAGACACTACAGCTGATCTCCTCTGATTGATTAAATTATAGGTCCATGAATCTTTCTGCGGCCACCGTAGCAAGGCCTGCATATAAATATCAAAGTAGATAATCAGAGGTAACTCGCTATGTGAAATATTAATAACACTTTTTATAATTGTATTTTAAAATATGAAAATGTTTTCATTAATACATATAATTATGTTTCTAGTTTTTTTTATATAGGACAGTTGTTAAGCATGTGGTATATTTTAATAAAACTGTTCTACATTGTGCTAACAGTAGTTTTAGCTTCTTGTTTTTATGGCTTACTGAATGTTGTTTGAGGTTTTCTAATCTTAATGGGTGACAATTCTGGACAGATTTTAGTAAAAACTAAAACTATATGTGATCATGCTTCATGTAGATAACTTTTAATGAGTTATATAGCAACATAATATCGTCATGATGTTTTGTATGCTTAAATTTTTTAGCTCTCAGCAATCTGGTTACAACAATTTAATTACATAGTAAAAATTATGATGTTTGTTATACCTAAATTCTTAGCTCTCAACAATCTGGTTACAACAATTTAGTTACATAGTACCATTATGATGTTTGTTATACCTAAATTCTTAGCTCTCAACAATCTGGTTACGTACAACCATTATGATGTTTTGTATGCTTAAATTTTTAGCTCTTAAAAACCTGGTTATAAAGTACCACCATGTTGTTTTGTATCCCTAAATCCTTACTTCTTAAAAACCTGATTATAAAGTACCCCGATGTTATTTTGTATCCCTAAATCTTTAATTCTCAAAATTTGGTTAGCTCAACACATAAAGGTGATCACTAACTTATTTTCCTGTAATTAAGTTTTTTTACATGATGGTTATTCATGCACTGTAATTAGAACTTCTGACTTCTAATTACTTCTTCAAGATGACTAGTATCTTTTTTTTAATTACATCTACTTCATTGTGATTAGCCCTCCAGAGGCACAACAGTAAGTCTGGGAACCAGGTTTCATTGTGATTAGCCCTCCAGAGGCACAGCAGTAAGTCTGGGAACCAGGTTTCATTGTGATTAGCCCTCCAGAGGCACAGCAGTAAGTCTGGGAACCAGATTTCTATACTCATGGTTTTCACAGTACAGATATCCTATTCTGTAGCTTTTTGCTTAACTACAAACAAACAAACATTGTCATTACATCATCAAGATCACTAGGAACCATTATAATCAGGTCTTCTGCCTTGTGTTTACCAATAGGAGGGTGACACAACCTCCTTGTGCAGTAACTCCCCTTAAGCACATCACTCAAAATAACTTCATTCTTTTCTTCGACACTGTCAATAATGGACATGTTTTTAAAATCATTAATCTATTACACGAGATTTGTGATAGTTTACAAAACTTAAATTATGTTCATGTTTAACTGGTTTCTTTTCTAAATAAAGAAAAATATGTTGTTTTTTCTTCTTACCTGTTATCAAGTCTTAAGTGATGGTAACTACTATTTAGTTCCATTATAGAGGTGATGTTCCTTACAAGGGAGCTGGTCTGTTGTATCTATGGGAGGGCTCATTGTCTGTGGAGGGTGTGACAGCCATTGTTCAGTGTATTGTGGGTTTTTCTCATTAAAGCAACTGTTAATTTTGAGGTATGACTGAAAGCTTGTGGACTTTTGGCTTGTGAGTTTCTGCAATTTTATTTTTCTCTATTTATTGTCTTGTTAATGGTACCAGGGGATATGTCTATCTTCATCACAAGGGGTTTGGGGTTCTCCTTATAAGTGCAGCATCTTTTTATATGCATAGCTCCCTCTTTGGGGATGAGGACATTGCTCTGGATTTGAGTGTGATCTTGGCAATCATTGCTTCCCTAAATGCTCTGCTCTCCAAGTTTATGCACTTCCATAGAAAACACTGAAGGCTTCAGTCTAAAGTGTTGTGTCCTATATCATTTAACAGTCTTACTGTATGAATATGTCTTTCTAAAGGCTTGTTACAAACCTCCAACCATAAGTCTTGAGTGGAAGCATTGCACTGTTGTATGATTGAGTTGAGTTAGGTGCCAAAGATGTTGCTCTTGGCACAATGACTTGTATCAGTACAGCTCTGTACTAACGTCTACAAGTCATTCAAGTAAAAATGGGGTTAATGTTGTATTCCCAGATATGTGTTACTGCTTTTTAATGCTCTAATATCCACCAAGTAACTAGATTTTTATAGCTAGGTAAATTTATCAAAAATGATGTATTATACAGAATAAATACAATCTTTGGATTTTTTAAATGTTATGTTAATGAGAAAAAATATTGTTATTACTTAAAAATAAATATGATCCTATGCCATATTATTTTAACTAAAACAAGTTGTTGAGTGGCTGGCAGTGTAATTCCCATAGAAAGTAAGACTATTAAAAAACACTTAGATATTTATTGGCACAAAACCAGTATGGCTTAGATTTAAAATAAATATTAAAAACTAACAAACACTATGTAAAGGCTGTAAAAAGAGTTGTACAAGTTCTTGATGCAATATGCTTATTTGTCTATGAATATAAAAACGCACTTGCACATTATAAATAATACGTAAGGGAAACTGCAACTGTTTTACTTTAAATAGAAAATATCATCTAAGCTCCCCTCGGGGTGAATTTTTGTATGTGGTGAGGGGACCTCCCAGGGAAGGTTCTGTATTTTCAGTTACCTCCTCTGAAATCTAAATGTCCACCTATGTGTTTGCTGTACATGGCGACCCATGAAGGGGAGGAGAGGATCCTGGTGTTTGAGTGGTGTCTGGGCCATTGCAACACACCACTTTGGCCTTGACTTCCTGTAGACGGGTGGCTCTCCCAGGGTCAATCGGCTGGCTGGTCCCATTGGGCTAAGGTCAACTGAGTACCAGTGTTGGGCATTCTCAAGATTGTGTCTAATGCTGATGTTTTGGTATAGTGCTTATGAAACACTGGCGTTGCTGCAGTGTCCTTGTTTGACATTGTAGTACGTCCCCTCATAGGACTCCATGTGGGTGGGGTCAGGGGCCACTGAATCTTTCTCTCTATATTATGGATCCTCCAAACCCTAATAAAAATCAAATACTAAAAGCTCTACTCATTTGTAAATGACCATGCCTTGAAGACTCTGAAAAGCAGTCTCCACCCTATTGTGCATCTTTACCTCATTTTCTTATTGTGCATTCGTTGTCGGATAAACCTTTAGGTCAAATGTCTCCCTTTTTTATTCAGAAGGGATTAGAGGGGCTTGCTGGTTCTCCAAAGTCAGTCAAGAAGCTACGTTCTGGGAACATCTTGATGGAAACATCAACACCAAAACACAGTGAACTCCTCTTGAATTCAAAAGCCATTGGGGATATACCCATTGAGGTTACTCCCCATGCTACTTTGAATTCCTCATGAAGAGTCATTGCTGAGAGGGATTTAAAGAATGTACCTGAGTCAGAGATTCTCGCTGGTTTCTTCAGCCAAGGAGTTTCTATGGTGCGTCGTATCTCCACTCATAAAGACAGATTTATGCTGCCTACCAATGTTCTCATTTTGACGTTTTCATCACCGCGTCCACCTGCTGCTGTCAAGGCAGGTTATTTCAACTCTAAAGTACAGCCATATATTCCCAACCCTCTCCAATGTTTCCCGTGCCAGCGGTTTGGTCATTCAAATACATCTTGTCGTGGTTCTGTGATATGTGCTCATTGTGGTGGCAAGGACCATGACACTTATGAATGTGAACTGGACCCTCACTGTGTTAATTGTAGTGGTTCCCACCTGTCTTACTATAGATCTTGCCCTAAGTGGGTGGAGGAGAAAGTGGTACTGCAGTTGAAGACTGTTAACAACATTTCTTACCCCTAGGCTTGGACGCTTTTATTCCCTACTCCATCTCAGACATATGCCACTGCACTATGTTCCACTGCTACGGTGGGAGTGCAGAAGGACCTTTCCATGCCTCCATCTGAGTCTTTTTTGCATCATGTGAGGGGTTTTGTGCTCTAAATGGGTAACAGAGTTGACCAGTCTATGTCTACTCCAATCTCTGTCTCCACCATTCCTTCTAGCGACTGCCTGGGTCCACCTCCTATGGCACCAGTGTCTGCCCGGGTCCTTTTTTGGCCCTGAGATGCAGGATGATCATTTAATCACATTCTCAGTTACTGGATTCTAAGTCTGATGACAGAGATCTGCCCACTTGACCAAGGGCAGGATCCATGGAGGTCGATAGACCTCCTTCTAGTAAAGAAAAATGGCATGGTCTTAAACCAAAAGGTTCTCCACCCAGTTCTCCTCCACCTAAAAAAAATGGCCACTTTCATACAGTGGAACTGTCGAGGTTTTTGTTCTAATCTCGTTGACATTAAGGCCTTGATCGATTTCTATTATCCCTTGTGTCTCTCCTTACCTACCAGTACAGTCACCTTTCAGTAGTTTTCTTTGTACCGGAATGACGGGTTGTGTGATGGAGGGGTATCATTGCTGGTCGACCAGCATATGCTCTCCTTATCTGTGTCACTCGATACACCCTTGGAGGCTGTAGCCATTCGTGTTTCCTTGGGTTGTACAATCACTGTTTGTTATCTCTACCTGTCTCCTGGAGAGACTTATGATCAGTCAGACCTTGATGCTCTCGTTGACCAGTTGCAATCTCCCTTTTTAATCCTGGGAGACTTTAATGGATACAACCTCCTCTGGGGTGGTGCTGATATTGATGGGGGGGGGGGGTCTTCTGTAGAGCATATGTTCTCGGATCACCAGCTTTCTCTCTTCAACACTGGATCTTATACTTATTTTCATGCACCTAGTCAGTCTTTCACTGCCATAGATCTCTTTTTCTGCTCCCCTTCACTTTTTTTGGACGGTTGACAGTGACCCACGGGGCAGGGATAATTTTCCTCTCATTTTGAGGGAGGTTGGTCGTGGTTGATGCCACATGACCCGAGTGACATGATGGAGTCCTGGTGGTACTCAAACTTGCTCTTCATCGGCCTGATAGTACATTGGTCGGACCTGATGATGTGCATTATGAGACGCTGCACCATTTCTCTCCTCTCTCTCTTGCTATTCTTATGGTTATTTTTAACCAGATCTGGCAGGAGCATGTTTTTCCTGATATTTGGTGGCAGGCTATTGCCCTCCCTTTCTCTAATTATTGTCCCATCGCTTTGACTAGCTGTCTTTGTAAGGTTTTAGAGAGGATGGTTAATGCTCATCTTGTTTGGTTCTTCGATTCAAACACGATCCTCTCGCTCACCCAGTGTAGGTTCCATTGACAGCGCTCCACCGTGGACCATCTGATTTGACTTGAAACATCGATCAGGGATGCCATCCTCAAGAGAGAACATCTTGTGTTTGTGTTCTTTGATCCTGACAAGGCTTATGACACTACGTGGAGGTATAGAATTTTGCAGGAAGTCCACTCCTATGGGTTGCATGGTCATTTACCCATTTTTATTCAGAACTTTTTACTGGACAGGCGTTTCCAAGTCTGTGTGGGTTCGACTCTTTCCCGTTCCTTTCCGCAGGAACTTTTAGTCCCTTAGGACTGTATCTTGAGTGTCACACTTTTTAGTGTCAAAATTAATGCTATCGCTACACACCTTCCTCCAACTGTTGCAAATAGGCTCTATGTCAACAACTTCCGCATCTCGTGTCAGTCGTTGAACGTAAGATTTATTGAGCGGCGGCTTCAGACTGCCCTCAATCACTTGTTGATGTGGACCACTGCAAGCAGTTTTACATTTTCTTTTTCCAAAACTGTTTACATGCATTTGTGCCACCAGTGGGGTCTCCACCCCGATCCTGAGCTCCATCTCTGTGATTTTGTTATTTGTGTAGTCTCATAAGCTTATCTTCATTCCACACATCAAGCAGCTATGTGTCAAGTGTACAAGGGCTCTCTTCCACCTCTTGGGGAGCGGATCGATGTTCTATGCTCAGGATCTATCGTGCCCAGGTTCAATCCAAACTGGACTATGGGTCTATGGTTCTGCCAGGACCTCATCCTTGAAGATGCTGGGCCATGTTCACCATCTGGGGCTTCAGCTATGCACTGGGGCTTTTCAGACTTCTTCAGTCCAGAGTTTGTACACTGAGTCCCACGAACCTTCTCTTCACCTCTGTCGTTTGCAATTTTCTTTACAATATGCTATCAAGCTTCGATCCTTACCACAGCATCCCACCTGGGGTTGTGTCTTTCTTCCTCGGTGGGCCATGCTCTTTCAGAACAGATGGTCTGCAATTCCTCCCTTTGGCCTTCGTTTCTGGGCACAACTGGCTGAATTGGGTCTGGCATTGGATGACATTGCTATCCCCAATGATCAGCCCATTCCACCATGGCTTATTACCATCCCTGCCTATGATCTTTCCTTGAGTCATCTGAGGAAGGCGGATACTCCCAATTGGAAGTACCGTCTTATTTTTGCTGAACATCTTTCGAGCCATTCTTCTCTTCCTATTTACACAGATGGTTTTAAATCTGGTGACTCTGTAGGCTCTGTGTTCACTGCTGAGTTATATGCTATTTCTCTTGCCCTGGATCATGTAGAAGCTATGCGGTACAATGATTGTATTATTTACACTGATTCTCTTAGCTCTCTACTGGCCCTGGAATTGATTAATGTTAGTTCTCACCCTGTTCTCGTCGATATTCAACATTTTTCTCTATCTTCTGTTTCCATCCAGTTTTTCTGGATACCTGGCCACATCAGTATTCACGGTAAGGAGCTCGCTGAAACTGTAGTAAGTCCATCTGTTCCAGCACCGTCACGGCTGTGCCTGTCCCATATATGGACTGCGGTCCTGTATTCAAGGTACAGCTTTGCACCAGTTGGCAGTTGACTTGAGGTGAGCAATGTCATAACAAGCTTTTCCAGATCAAACCTTCTGTTGCTCTTTGGTCATCTTGCTTCCGTAAGGATCGAAAGGAAGTTGTCCTAGTAAGGCTATGCATTGGTCACAGTTTTTAATTCATCATTTTCTTTTATCTGGTATTGACCCACCAATGTGTAGTCTTTGTGACACTCAAGTCACAATAACCCACATTTACTATCGTGCCGTCGATACAACCGTGAGAGGTGGCACCATTTTTGACACCTGTTATGTAAGGTTTTACCCCTGACATTGGTTAGTGTCATTGAAGATGGTGACACTGTCCATTTGATTGTATTTTCAATTTTTTAAGAACAATTGGTCTTTTTATTTTTATTTAATTCTTTTATTTGTTATCTGGACATATTTTGGTTTTAACTCAATTTATTTTTACATTTTACTACAACTTACTTTTACTGTTTTTACCGGTTGTTTGGTGCAGATAGCCTAGTTGCTTTGCATCATAAAACACCAAACAAACAAACTCATCTGAGCTATGCATGTTAATGTTATATTATGATCAAATCACACTGAAGTAAGGATTTTCAGTGAATCTATGCATACTTGTTGAGATATAGAAACCTTCAAACAAAAGAAGCTAAAGGGTGAACATGATAGTTCCTTTTCTATAATGTGAATCCTATCAGAAAGTATAATGGAATGAAGGACATAGTTCAACCATTGATGGTTATTGAAAGATTTGGTGCATCTCACCATCCTCAGTCAACCTTGTGTATGTGCTGGAAAAATCCTTAATATTTTCAGTACATGAAATATTTATGCCAAAGTTGGCTTTATTTTCTACTATTTTTAAAATCAAAATACATTAGAAAGCTAGAGGAACCACATTCATCATTTTGTCACATTTGTACCTAATTATTGATTTATAGACTATACAGCTGTTTTATCTTTTTTTTTTTGGCTATCAGAAATGAATACTTTTGTTTCAGAAATTACCAGTGATATCTATGGATGTTTCCAAGTTTACTGCTTGTAAAGAGCTACGCCCTTTGTTTTTATTAACCTTTCTCACCCTGCTGGAACATTTAGCTTCATAAGAGTTATAAGAAAATTGGGAGGTGTTAGGAGCAATTGATTCTTAAAACTGAATTAGATATAGAAAAGGTTTGTACCCCCTTTTCATTATAGCACCATTCTATATAGAAAAGGTTTGTACCCCCTTTTCATTATAGCACTATTCTATATAGAAAAGGTTTGTACCCCCTTTTCATTATAGCATTATTCTATATAGAAAAGGTTTGTACCCCCTTTTCATTATAGCATTATTCTATATAGAAAAGGTTTGTACCCCCTTTTCATTATAGCATTATTCTATATAGAAAAGGTTTGTACCCCATTTTCATTATAGCATTATTCTATATAGAAAAGGTTTGTACCCCTTTTCATTATAGCATTATTCTATATAGAAAAGGTTTGTACCCCCTTTTCATTATAGCATTATTCTATATTATTTGTCATCATTTTATCTTGTGTCTCATCAGTGATCAAATGTAACAAAAACTTTGCTCATGAACAATATTAAACATATTGAAGAAAATTAGAATAAAAGCAGAACGTCTGTCAGTTTGGTAGAAGAGAGTTATTAAGTGTAAAGAAAGTCATATTTTTAAGTACTAGCTTTTTATTGTTACATTCTTAATAGGAGACAGAGTGTGATATAAAAGCATTTGTTTTGCTCAGTTTCACATAAAAGAATTATACATATCTTATGAAATAATTTTTAACTTTTTTATAGTTGGATCCTCACTGGCTCTAGGTTTTACAAGTATCGTTTTTTTGAAATTGGTTTCGTATCACATGGTTAATTATTGGTGTCGACAAAAAAAGCTCCAGGCTCTAAACAGCAGAAATCGTCGAAGAGGTTCCCTTGTTTCTTTAAGTAAGTATAGTATTTGTGCCTTTAATTAGTAACTTGAAAAACTGTATTGCATTGTGGACAAAAGAGAATTGATAACAACCTACAAGGGGTTCAATAAGTTGGTTATCCTACACTTTAATCCTTCCTGTGTGGGTAATATTTAATTTACAGCACAAAACTTTTCATTCATTTTTTTAACCATGTTTAGGTGTTTCTCACATTATACCTGAATAATAAAAAGAATTACTGTACTTCTCTGAGGGGCAATGAACCTTTATGACCACCTTGCATTGGATTTTTTTAAAGATAATTTCAAATTTGTTGTAATCTAGGACTTCTGAAGAAATGTGTGAAGAAAGATGTAGTCATAAAATCTCTTGTGATATTTGTAACTAAAAATATGTTTGTGAAGTTGATATCTACAATACTGGGTGAAGTTGATAGCTACAATACTGAGTAAAGTTGATAGCTACAATACTGGGTGAAGCTGATAGCTACAATACTGGGTGAAGCTGATAGCTACAATACTGGGTGAAGCTGATAGCTACAATACTGGGTGAAGCTGATAGCTACGATACTGAGTAAAGTTGATAGCTACAATAGTGGGTGAAGCTGATAGCTACAATAGTGGGTGAAGCTGATAACTACAATACTGGATGAAGTTGTTAGGACATGTTAGTAACGAGTATGGATTGACTAAATGTGATCACCATTTTGGTATTAAAATAAAATGCTATGGTTTCGTGGACAGAAAGTACAAAAAAAGCCCCTTCTTGTTAGGTCTGAGAAGCCTTCAGTCAACAGGGATAGAGGGTGACGACTTAAAATATATGGACTTTTTAATACCTTCTGTTTTATTTCTTTTCTAAAGAGTATGTGTGTGTGTGTGTATATACATATATATAACCTATAAGTACATTTACAGCTTACTTTACTTCTGCATATTTATTATATGTGAATTTTCTGTGTTAAATGAATATTCTGTTCACAATAGTTATATTACATAACTTGTAATCCCACCAGTGCCTACCATGAATCCAGGTTTGTTATGATGGCAGTTTTTATTATGTAATGCAAGTATTTATGTAAAATAAAGTAGAGGGCAGTATCATGTTTATTTTGTTTGTTTGCAAATATTTATGTTCCAGACTACAAATTATTTAGAAAATCAGTGCTACCCTAAATGTAGTATTATGGGTAATTTTTTAAAGTGGTCTGTGACACGTGATTTATTATACAGTTTAACTTATTTGATGTGATCACACATAGAGTATCTCTATCATAATAGTAACTTCTGAATACTTTATTTTATTATGCTATTTAATATCTTTTAGTTAAGCTAATTTTTTCAAATAAAGAAAACTCAAATTAAAGTGTTTTTTTAATTTGACACTCAGCACCATGAATATAAATATTAACCAAAGACAGATATTTTATCTGTATTTTTAAATCAACAAGTAAAAAAGAGTGAAGTGGAATGTTTGTGTATTATACTGATATGATATTAGTGTTATAAAGCTGGATCTAAATCAAACATCTCTGGTTTTTAGTGAACTTTCTGCTTCTAAAGTAGAATAGATTGATAGATACAGTGAGTCCAAAACATGTTATAAAGGGCATATACACATTTTAAACAAGGAGTTTTAAATATGTGAAATAAAGCTTAACAATGTTTAGTTACAAATGCTATGAGTATCAAAATTTAAATAGGTGAGGCCAGTGCTTGAAGTGGAGTGGGATGAGGTAGATGCCATCCCATTTCGTTTCAGGAGGGCCCGAAACCATCCTGCTGCCTTTTAGTAGATGGTAAGATTCTCAGAAGGGAAAAGTTCAATAAATATTTGTGGTAAGGGACTGTGGAAAAAAAAATATATATATTTTTTTGTTTCTTAAAATGTCGTGTAAGAGCAGGGCAGAAATGAGACAAGTTAGTACACGGAGCGAATGAACCCTTTTGCTACGGATTCAGGCAGTGTGACTGAGTTCGTAACTACAAAGTGACCATCAGAGATTTCATAATATACTTCATAACAGTATACATCTATTTGTATATAATTTTTGTTTTATTGCCCTTTGAACCTTGTCTAATTAATAATCCTACCACACAAGTTGTAAATCACTCAGTGAATGTGCAACTCACTTTATTGTATTGAATTACATAATGCACGAGCTGCTCATGAATATACCTTGTGAAGAATTGTTATTTTTTAGATTATCTTACTTAATCTAATCTAATAAGTTGTCAATTTTTACATTTCAACTACTTTTATATTAATAAATGAAGAATACACATAAGAAACATAGTACCCATCTTCAAAAATTTCACAAACCATCCTCCGTTCAAGCACTTTTTCTGAAATACATGAAACTTTTCCAGGTTTATATTTTGAAGAAATAAATACATATAAAAAAAATTGATTTTAACCTTTTTTTTTTCTCATGTGAATGGTATGTTAGGGCTTGAATTAAAACCATGCTTGTGCAGTTCATAACTTCAATTATTTGGAGTACAATTAATGTTCAAGAAATTCATTTACAGTTATATTTACAAGGGCTAGCTGAACCAGTATTATTGATGTGCCTAGCAATAGATCTGACCATAAATAAGCAGAATTTGGTTACAAAAAACAAGCTGAATGCTGCTTATTGGTTCCATAAGATTTCATGGTTCACTGTTCATTACTGTAATAAATTGAGCTCTGCATTTTGGGGCCTTGGGTGCATTATAAGAGTAATTGTCAAATTCCAATATATGATTAGATTGTTAGAGTAACCCATAAGTTGGTGGTTGGTTCTGACTAGCTTTCTTTCTAGTCTGTCCCTTCAAAAATTATTGACAACTAATGCAGGTAGCCCTTTGTGCAAAATTCAAAAAATAGCAAATAAACAAACAATTACAAAGAACCTAATAAAACGTTTTTTTTTCCTTTTGTATACAAAAACTCAATTTAGTCTAAAGTTTTTTTAGACTTGATAACATTTGGCTAAGACATTCGACATGAATTCCTAACAAATAGGCTTCATTCTCTTATTTGGGAACATCGAAAACAATTTTTGAGTAAAAAATTACCATATTAGTGTTTTTATAATGGTATAGAAGGGAAAATGATTAGTCAAAAGTATGTATTGTTTAAAGTTGTGGTTATTTTTCATTTTAAAACTCTGATCACCAAGTGACTCACTTAGCTGATTTTATGAGTCTTCCCCTCTCCAAGCAATAAACAACTGATATTTGTACCAGACTGAATTATATATATAATGTTTAAAAACTTTAATTTCAAAAAAACTGCTTAGTGACTTTTATATTATGAAAACCCAGTTAACTTGTGTATTGTGTGTTAGAATCACATACAGAAATTTCACTATTCAAATGATTTAGATGTGTCATTTGCTTGAGTTGTATAATTTAAAAAATGAACTAGAACCTTTAAGTGTTATAAATACATTAGAATAGTTGTAATAAACACACTGTAATGAAATACACCGAAGAGATGATATCTGGGTATTAATTATAACAACTACTTTTTTAATAAAGATTATTTTACATTGTTGGCTTAGTAATGGATTTAAGGCTAACGTAAATATCCTAAGCTGGCCAAAGCTTATAATGTATTATTGATATTACAGCAAAAAATATTGTTAAGAGGAGGGTATCCAACTGGTTATTCGTTATATTTTTATCCTGGTGAAGTTTTGCCAAAGTTAATTTTCTTACAGACGTTTATTACACATAATCTTGCATTGAATTAAGTGCTGATATGTTTCCAATAATTCTAAATATCTGTAATATTTACATCTCCATAAAAACCACAGACAATTTCTGTTGTAAGAAACAGTCATCTTTCTTTAAGTTGTTTACGTAAATAAGAGTGTTTTTTCTTATAATTACCTTGCATGATTTATTACAGACTAGAAAGCAGGCTAGAATGTGAATAAACAACGTCTCAGGAATATATGTATATATATATGAATTTTTTTAGATATTTATAATAAATTATTATTAAGCTTCAGTTAGGAATAATACAAAATACCTTATACACTGTATGCCTCCCAGTGGAACAGTGGTATGTCTGTAGACTTACAACTCTAGAAACTGGGTTTCGATACTTGTGCTGGGCAGAACACAGATAGCCCACTGTGTAACTTTGTGCTTAATTCCAAACAAGCTATACACTGCAATAAATATATGTTTTGAAATATATCCTTTTCACTAACTGTTTTCAGGTAATGTTTTTATAAATGTTGTAATTTCAGTATTTGTTATTGTCCAAAAAATAGCATACGAATGATATTTATTCAGTTGTGATATGAAGAATTGGTGATAGCCTCATGAAATATTATAGTTTAGAGGATTTTAATGTTGAATAAAATTTTGCCATCTCGACAAGTGGATGCAGTCACTACACTGCAGGAGAAGTGAGAGTGAAGATGTAATTAAAAATCCTGGCCATTAATTTCCTGTCAAAGTAATAGCCTCATAGTGATATAAACATATAGCTCTGTGGAACAGAATGACCTTGGCCAGAAGTGTCATGTTACAAACAACTCAGAAAGTAATGCTTTGCACAGATACAAATAATGGTGTGATGTATTTTGTATGTGTGTATGTAATATACGCTTTATATCTAAACTTTAACATAATTTTGATTATCGTGTATTTTGTATAAAGATTCCACTAACAGCTGTAATTTTCACTGTTAAAGAGTTTCTGGTGATCATATATTTTATTTGTTACTATAGTATTTTTTAAAGTTGTCAAGGAAGAGAGTTTTTTTGTGTAACTAGAAACTTTCATGATATCATAACGTGCTGTTTTATGTATAATATTAATTCACTATGACCAGTATTTATATTAACTTGTAATACAGTTGCATGTCTCAAAAAAAAAAAAAACGTTTTTCTTGACACCTCTTTCATTTTTTCATTTTCAGAAAAACATGAGAAAAACAGTCATGATGAAAAAGTAGCTCCTCAGTTGGTTAATTATCCAGACAATCTTCACTTGGCAGGTGTGTGTGTTTAATAATAGTCGTAACATAGTTTTAATGGTATTGTTTTGACATACTATAAGTTTGGTTGGGTTGGGCATAGCCCAGTGATGAGTCTGCTGGACTGTGGATTTGAGGGTCCATGCTTCGCTTCCATGTAGTTAGAACTATGGGTGTACTGTTAATAGTTATTTGCTTTGATCACTAGTGAGAAATTGGGTTTCTGGTAGTGTAGTTTTCTGTCTTTTCATAACTATCCCAATAAATCATGCTTTATCCAGTTCATGATTTATTAGGATAGTTTATTTGTACTAATGCTTTATCCAGTTCAATTTGTACTAATTTATTAGATAGTTTTGATGCTTTATCCAGTTCATGATTTATTAGGATAGTTTATTTGTACTAATGCTTTATCCAGTTCAGTTTGCACGTAATTCTGCTGTATACACTCATGGCTTTGTAGTATGCCGATATTACATATCTTACTCTGCTACATTATAAATTTATTATATTCAAAATTATTAAACTTGTCTACTTGATTACAGAACATTAACTGAGTAGGTGTCATGTGAAAAATTAAACCTGAGGTGTTACTTCTTGTAGCTTGACCAATCCAGGGACTTATCTAGTGTTTTGTGGGAAGGTTTCATTATGTCCTTCTTGACCTTGTAGTTGAGAGATACGTTGCTGCTGTCACATTAAATAAAGATAGTTCTGCAACCCAGTGCAATTTTTTGACTGTTCAAGTGTAGAAAGAATTATACACTGTATATGCAGTTTTGATACTTTCAAGACAGGTTCGTTGTGAGCTTAAAGGAGAAAGATTTGCTTATGTTTTCTCATAAGAGTCGAAACCTTCTGTGGAAGTCCAGCACCCCTGTCCATTTATAAAATTCATCGATCGTGCATGTTATAGTTCAATACATTTCATTTATTTAGTTACATTTTTGCTTTCTACTTTTGATAAATAAAATGTTTTATTTTTATTTGTTTGGACTTAACAGTGTGTCATGTCTGTTTTACTTCGCTTGTCATAAATTGCTGCAGTTTCTGTCAGAAAATTAGATCCACAAATCTCTAGTTTTTGCAGAGAACAGGTAAATGTTTTTACAAGTACAAGCTTAAATCACCACAATTTATAGAAATGGTGATCCGATGTAATTCTGCTGTATCCAATCATGGTTTATTGGGTTAGTTTAGATGTAATTCTGCTGTATCCAATCATGGTTTATTGGGTTAGTTTATGTTTAATATTGCTGTATCCAACCATGGTTTATTGGGTTAGGTTACACGTAATTCTGCTGTATCAAACCGTGGTTTATTGGGTTAGTTTACATGTAATTATGCTGTATGTAATCATGGTTTATTGGGTTAGTTTATGTTTAATATTGCTGTATCTAACCATGGTTTATTGGGTTAGGTTACACGTAATTCTGCTGCATCAAACCGTGGTTTATTGGGTTAGTTTACATGTAATTATGCTGTATGTAATCATGGTTTATTGGTTTAGTTTATGTTTAATATTGCTGTATCTAACCATGGTTTATTGGATTAGTTTAGATGTAATTCTGCTGTATCCAATCATGGTTTATTGGGTTAGTTTAGATGTAATTCTACTGTATCAAATCATGGTTTATTGGGTTATATGTTTAATATTGCTGTATCCAATCATGGTTTATTGGGTTAGTTTAAAACTAACCCAATAAACTGCGATTGGATACAGCAATATTAAACATAAACTAACCCAATAAACCATGATTACATACAGCATAATTACATGTAAACTAACCCAATAAACCA